ATTAAATTTAAGATTAATCATGATTAATTCACAGCTACTTTGGGATTAATCAGATTAAAAATATTAATCATTTGACAGCCCTAATGTTTAGCCACAATTCCACTCTTTTTAAACTATTAGCTACAGTCAAAGCAGACTATGTTAGCCTATGGGTAATTTAGCTACTATTTAGCTAAATTAGCTTTTGGTCATGTTTGCCAATGTTAGCATCTTGAATTTTACCTAATGATAAGGTAATTCCAGATTCACCATGTTCAGCTAAATGTAGCTTTAGCATGTGTTTTTCTTCTTAAGCTTTGTCATTTTTCTTGCTGGATATTGGTTAAAGCTTTGCTTATTTATAGTTTCTAATATTTTGGCTATTAGTTTGATCATTTCAACACCTGTTTTGGTCATTTTGGCATTTAATTTGTTAATATTAACTAATCATTTGCTAGGCTTAGCTATTATTTTGGTCATTTTAGACATTGTTTTGCAAAATTTGTCCTTAGTTCTTTTATTCAAATTTTACTTTTTTTCAAACTTGAGCTTTGCTGTTCGTTTTTTTGCTTTTATTAAGCTCATTTTAAGCCTGCGTTCTGCTCGATTTAACTTAATTCCTCTGGTTGATGGTAAGAGAGGTGAGCAGCTGTGATCAGATGGTTGAACACAGAAGATGCTTGCCTCTCTTCCAGGCGATGTGAGCCCTTCTCAGCTTAATGGCGAAGAAAATGACCACCACCAGCAGGCCAACGATGAGTGACGTCACCAGAAGGACCAGCAGGTTGTAATTTCTTGAAGCACCCACCTGAGGATCTGAGTTAGACGTGTCTAAAGACGGACAGAGGATCACACTTTACTCACACGTTCAGCAGCTATGGCAGAGATTAATCCTATAGTTTGCTGTTATTTCTGGCGCATATGAGAGTGTGGAGTGTTCACCTGTTCGGTTTGCACCTGTGGTGTTATTTAAGGTGATGTTTGCTCTCGTCTCAGACACAAAAATCCCACCTGTAAGGAAATGAAGACAGAAAAACTTACTCAGCTGCAGGAGGGACTCGAACAAAGGCAGACCTGTTAGCTGACTGGGTTTTTGTTTGCATTCAGACATAAAGTTTTAACTTATAAACATGTTTGTGTCAGCTGTTCAGATGAGTAGTTTCTTAACCTGTCCAGAGGTGTTGCTGATATTTGGCTAACAGATAAAAATCTTATAATGTCTCAATGTTTTTATGACTGTAGCCAAAGTAAAGATGTTTTTGGAGAAATATCCAGAAACATCACTATTTGACAGTCAATGCATCTCTTCTCAAATGGTTTTCCACATGAACTAACTTAATTAATGTAAAAAGCTGCCATACCTGTAGTGTTTGTTGTCTGACTGATCATATCTTTGTCCCAAGCTGAATGTGGAGAATCTGAATATTACAGGAAATAAGAAAGAAGAAGTGAGAAACTGGAACAAGCATGATCTCATTTTCTTACGAAGATGAAAATATAAATGGTTACACATGTTGGCAGTACGAAACAACATATTTTAAATAAAAAGGATTTATTGCTGATAAATGGTTGAAATCAGAAGATAATTTTACAGTTTGGAGTTCARATCAGATCATATTTCATCTACAGAGTTCTCATTTTCACCCTGGCAGATCTCATGACACAGTTTCACTCGATTCATGACTGGAACCGGATCTTGTGGCAACAGAACCACAACTGAGGTTCAGTAACAATCTGCACCATGAAACTGTGATATCTACACTCTCATTCTGCAGGGACGGAATAAAGGTAGAATAATTGTCTTATTTCATGTGAGAATTAAGAAAGAAGCTCAAATTTAGACGATAATAAAACTATTTTCTCAAAGACAACACATGAGCTGACAAAGCCTGAAACTGTTGCATGATGTTTAGTTCATGAAGCCTGCTGGTGTCAGTCTGCTGTTCAGCATCACTAACAGAAACCCAGCTCCACACAGACGTTCAGACATAAAACATGTGGGTCAGAGCTGCTGCCTCCTTGGATCTCACTAGTATCAGATCTCACAGAGTCTGTTTCCACTCAGAGTAAGAGTTAGAAAGGACTTTCAGCTACTACCACACCAAATTTTAGCTCAATACATGTAAATGTGACTAAGCTATTTCTGTGTTGGCTAAAGTTGATTAGCTGTCAGTCAGTGGTTCACTGCAAAAATTGTCCACCTAAGTTTTAAAGGGATCCCCGATTAGTTGTAACATTAGACTTTATATGATAAACATATACTTTAACTGTAAAATAAAGACCGTAAAAATACTGTAGGATGTTCAGTTTTTATCATTTTTAAACTAAAAGTTTAACAATACATTACACGGACGGGGCCATTTTATTTACACGCAAAGCATTCTGGGTAAATGATGACATCCTAAAGTATTTTTACATTCTTTATTTTAC